TCAACTCAGAAGGATGTTCACACTGTTGGATGAAAGCCCTGACCCTGTCCTCAGGCAAGGATGCTCCTCCTCCTGGAAGGGGGTATAACAGAGAGGATTTGGAAGCCCCTGAAGGCGTCTTCTTTGGCTCCATCCCTCAATTATCCTTCTGACAGCCAGATTTGGACCAAATTGGATTTAGTGCATTTCACAATTTTGTTGAACAAATTTGTGGATTAAGGAAACAAATTAAATCCACATTTTTATTTGACATCATCAAAAATATGACATGCAGACTGGAAATGAACCTTCCTGGTCTTGTAATAATTTCAGTGGAGACTGAGTCCTTCCTTCTTAAGGGCTTTAAAAAAAAAAAATTATTCTTACAAAGACCTCTAGGAAGCTGCCTCCAAAGCTTACCTGAGACCTGGGATCTGACCTTTGGGTTTAGTTCAGGCTGCAGTACCCATCCCATTCTAGAGAGAAGGGTCTCTCTCTCTCCCCACCCATCATTTATCATTTCTGCCATTCCTCCCATGATTTCCTCTTGGCCATAGCCTAATTTAAGTTTCAGCATTATTCTGTAACTGGACTAACAGATTTTCATGTTAGTGCCAATTCAAGTACTCCATCCTTTCTCTGAACTCTTAGGTCAATAAATATATAACTCATTTGATAATTAGTTAGGTGCCTTTGACACCTCACCCAATAGCTTTGAAAACAAGGTAGATATTTCATTTTCTCCATCTTTGTTTCTTGACTTCATGGTAGACAGACTAGCTGTATGTGGGCAAGAAATGAGATTTCTACTTCTCTATGTATGTACCTGACATGTAGTAGCATGCAGTGAATATTTACTGCCTTATACATTTAATTGGCATATGATTCCTTAACAATAAAATGGTAACTTTTTAAGAGAGAGAAGACATTATCTTGGCTGGGCTTAGTGGCAAGGAGGCTGTGAAGACCATTGGGTTAGTGTGGGGGCTTTAATGCCAGACAGCGTGGGCTTGAATCCTGGCTCCCCATTTATTGGTGATACTACTTTGACAGTGATGTAATCTCTCCCTGCCTCAATTTCCCCTCCTATAAACTAGAAATAACAATAGCATTTGATCAAACCCCTAAAACAGGAATAGAGGAAGCATTTTCTAAATGTCAACTATCACAATTTTATTATTGCTTCCTAATCATCACAACATGCTTATGAAATACTTGTGGCTAACACACAGGTGGACTTTACCTTATCGAATTTTTGTCCAGATGATCAAATTCTTATCTTTGAAACATGAACTATCTGAGTGATTGTGGTTTTCCTTTCCCATTATATAATATACATAAAGTGAAAGAACAGAAAAGAAGATGACCAAAACCAGTAAGATTAAACCAATTAAAAAAGTAGAATGAATCAGTGTTAGCCAAAGAGAAGAGCCTGCGGGAAGAGCCTTAGGAAGGCTGCCAAATCTATTGAGTAAAAGAGAGATGGAGGGGAGAACCATCAATTAAAATTAATTAAAAGCTTTTAATTCTTATGATGCTGACCTCATTTTCCAGGTGTCTGAGACAAAGGGAAGAAATGTGGGTACTTAAGTGGCATGACATTTTTCCAACTGGCTACTTTCCCTTTAACCAGACCGAGCCTGTCTCTTCCCTCTTGCCCTGACTCATGGCTCAGGTCGCTTTGCTGAAAAGAGAGGCAGTCCTGAGGCCTGGCAAGCGGCTAACTAGACCTTCTCCCACACTCTCATCCATCAGCACGTCCTGCTGATCACACTTTCAGAGTGCATCCTGATTCTGGGCACTTCTCCCCCACGCCAAATCTTCATTTCCACCTGGAATTACAGTGATTGCTATGTGGTCTTGTTTCCACTCATATTTATTATTCTCTGAAATTGCCTTGTACTGACTTTTCTGATTTGTTTTTTCATTTGTTTTCACCATTAGCTTTAAACATCTCATTCACCAGTGGCTGGTGGATGCATGGTCCAATCAATATTTCTTTCTTTTTAAAGAAATTTTTATTGGAATATAGTTGATTTACAATGTTGTGTTAGTTTCAGGGGTACAGCAAAATGAATCAGTTATATATATATATATATATATCTCCTTTTTTTAGATTCTTTTCCCATATAGGTTATTACACAATACTGAGTAGCGTTCCCATGCTGGACCACGGGTCCTCGTTAGTTATCTATTTCACATACAGTCGTGTGTATACGTTGGCGTCCCCGGTGGCTCAGTCGGTAAAGAGTCTGCCTGCAGTGCAGGAGACCTGGGTCAGATCCCTGGGTCAGGAGAATCCCATGGAGAGAGGAGCCTGCCAGGATACAGTCCATAGGGCTGCAAGAGTTGGGTATGACTTACCGACTAAGGCCATCACCAGGATCTAGGCTCTATTTCCCTTTTTTCCCCACATATCCCCCAAATCACATATACAAACATCTAACCTATCTTTTGTATATAAATACATATAATATATAAATATCATATAAATATATACATCTCTCTCTATACACATATATATTACAGACGCAATATTTAATAGAATTACAACTTGGTTAGGGTCTAGAATCTAAAATATGCCTTAGGCTGAAATTAGTTGTTGTTTAGTTGCTAAGTCCTGTGTGACTCTTTGCGACCCTATGGACTGTAGCTCACCAGGCTTCTCTGTCCATGGGTATTCTCCAGGCAAGAATACTGGAGTGGGTTGACATTTCCTCCTCCAGGGGATCTTCCTGATGCAGGGATTGAACCCACATCTCTCGTGTCTCCTGCATTGGCACCACTGAGCTACCTGGGGAGCCTCCAGGCTAAATCTCTATGTAGTAAAATTTCTACCTGAGAACCCTTTAAAGTACATGGAGAACGTACATAATTTTGATCTGTAACTACAACTTGTATGGTAATAGTAAGCATAAATGAAAGGAAATATCAATCAGCTCTTTCACGTACAACTCTGGATGAAATAGCTGCAAATGAGAAAACACAAATTCTGGTTCTCATCCCCGGCCACCCTGTGACCATAATTTGCAAAGACTTTTCCCAACCCAGATGACAGTTGATTCATTCCCTCCGGCATATGGATTGCTATGTCTTTCCTTGTAAGTCAGATATCCTCTGAGATTATTTTAATTGGAACCCTTATGATTTCCCAACAATTTGAGGTGGTCCCAATAATTGGCAGATATATAACAATTCCATTAAAATAAAAAGACATAAGAAGAGGGAAATAAATAACCTAAGAAAAGTAAGGCAGTTATGATTCCATTAAAAGACACTAACCTCTGAGCTTCCTGGAAGTCAAGAGAAAAAGGGAAAATCTTAGACAAACATTCTCATTGCTTAATCAAAATAATCAAAAGGCAGAGGTTCTCTCATGGCACTACTTGAAAAAAATAGGAAATTCCCTGGCAGTCCAGCAGTTAGGACTCTGCGCCTCCGATGCAGGGGGCCTGGGTTCGATCCCTGGTTAGGGAGCTAGGATCCTGCAAGCTGTGCTGTGGGGCACAGACAAAAAAAAATTTTAAGTCACTCATAATTTTATCATGGCAATATTGTTGTTGTTCAGTTGCTGTCATGTCTAACTCCTTTGCAACCCCATGGACTGTAGCCTGCCAGTCCATTCTGTCCATGGGATTTTCCAGGCAAGAATACTGGAGTGGGTTGCAATTTCCTTTACTAGGAGATCTTCCCAACCCAGGGATCAAACCTGTGTCTCCTGCATTGGCAGGTGGATTCTTTACCACTGAGCCACCTGGGAAGCCCAGTGCCTTTTCTAGGAGATCTTCCCAACCCAGGGATCAAACCTGTGTCTCCTGCATTGGCAGGTGGATTCTTTACCACTGAGCCACCTGGGAAGCCCAGTGATATTATTATTTTTGCATATACACCCTGTATTCCAGTCCTTGTCTGCAAGCAAAATAGTAGATAATTTTATTTAAAAAATATTTCAATGGGCAAAACATTCACATAGTTTGAAAACTGGAAAGTGAGAGTAAGCAATGGAAAGTGCTGTCCCTTTCCTGTCATGCATTTGCCTCGATTCAACTCCCTCCAGCCTCCCGCTCTGTGGTATCCATCTAGAATTTTTGTCCATATTCAATCACAACTGCGTCATCATCAGCAATAAAATATAGATCCTTATTTCTTTAACTTAATGACATATCTTGCATGCATTTCCACATCAGTAGGAAAGCCTCCCCATTCTCTTTCATAGCTATAGCGGATCTCATTGTTTGGATGTACTGTTACTTGCCAGTGCCCTGCTGATGTCATTTTCATTTGGGCTGTTCCTTTTTTTCTGTTTGTTTGGTTTTAGAAATGAAGTGTGCAGTTTCACAATGTGCACATATATATATGTGATACATCCCTGAAGTGATGGCTGGGTCAAGGGATAAATGCATCTGTGAATTTGATAGCTCTCACCAATTTGCCCTCCAGAAGGGCTCTGAAAACGTATGCTTCTACCGGTAAGTGTCAGAAGGTTGAGTTGCCATATGCTATCTCTATACTCCAGATCAGCATCCTCCTGCTAACTTCTAAGGAGGAAGGAAAAGCAGTGTGAAAAAGGAAGAACTGTTTGTCAGGCACCTATTGTGTGGCAAACACGCAGTATAGACACGTTTCATCCTCACTGGGACCCTGTGAAGCAGTTTGTTTCCCGGATTCTTCCTAATGAGGCAATTCTGTCTCAGAGAGGCAGAGGAATGTTGTGCGGTGACTCGGGGAAGTGGAGGAGGGTCCTGCCCGTGTGGCTGGCCCTGAGGCTGCTGCCAGAGTCCTGCCCCGCGGGGGGGTGTCTCACCTGGTCCTAGCTTGCGTGCCTCAGCCCTGCTGCTCAGCCCTGTCCGACTCGGTGCGACCCCAGGGCCTGTAGCCCGCCAGGCTCCTCCGTCCATGGAATTTTCCAGGCAAGAATACTGGAGTGGGTTGCCATTNTCCATGGAATTTTCCAGGCAAGAATACTGGAGTGGGTTGCCATTTCCTCCTCCAGAGGATCTTCCCGCCCCAGGGATCGAACCCATATCTCTTCTGTCTCCTGCATTGGCAGGTGGGTTCTTCACCACTAGCGCCACCTCATGGACCAGCAGTGGTGCCAACAGTTTTTCATGTCTCAACTGTTTTATTTTCTTGGTTGCCTTGAACTTCAAGTGCCACTCCTTAGAGGAACTCCTGGACTATTCACTCCTTTCTCCATTTGGCCTCCTGCCTAGGTCGCAGCCCTTGCCCTCACAGGTGATTTGTGACGGTGGAGCAGAGGTCCTCCGGGTGCCCCTCTCCCAGGAGGGCATCCAGCCATTCCTCCAGGTCCCGTACCAGCCGCTCCAGCTCTTGCACCTCTTTCTCTAGCTTCTCCAAGAAAACATGCAAGTTCTCTTTCAACCAGGTCCTCATGACCTTGATCGGCTCTTCTGGGGAGTCGCTGGTCTGGCATTCAAACACCTAAAAGGCAGACACCAAGGTTGTATCTTGAGTGTTCTCTGGTAGACCTCTCTTGCTGTGCTGGATTCTACGAGCTCGCTGAGCCTTTGTTGTGCTTCCTTCTGCCCCAAGTATGCATCCCCACCTTCTCTACCAGACCCACTCCTACCTACCCTTCAAGACCCAGTTCATCAATGACACCTACAGGAAGCCTTCTCAGACGTCCTCAGTCAAGCTTAAGGTCCCTTCTTGAATATGTTACCTGGGAAGTCACAGGCTTCTGGGGGTAGTTACATTCTCTGATCCTTTCTGACACCTCCCAACTTCTTCCTGAAACAGGTACAAACACCACCTCTTACTAAGGTAAAGTAGCAGGAGTTGGAATACATTTGGCTGGTCATCCCAGGGGGATGAAGAGGGTGGGAGAGGCGAGCTGTGGAGGTCCCCTCAGTGTCAGCCAGCTTCGGATTACGCTCCGACTCTGTGTGCTCTTGGCTCCTCCCTCCTCCGACCCCACAGGGCCCACCTGATATTCCTGTGCCCACATAGAGCACCAGGACCAGCAATGCCAACAGCGTCTGGGGGCAAGAAGAGGAGGAGATGAGTTCCTGGAGGTAGATGAGCACCCCTGCCTCCCTCACAGAGGGCTAGGAATGGGGATCCACTTTTTCTATTTATCTGAGTCACAGGTGCTTGCTACAAAACCTGCAACACCACGGGCCTAGATAGCAGGGCGACCCGCTGACATTTCATCAGTATTTTCCCTCCTTTGTCCCTGGTGAGAAGGAAGGCTTACCTTTTTTTCCATTATTTGCCTCACTTTTGCCATTTATATATTTTTGTTTGTTTGTTCTAAATGCTCTTTAGAAAAGTCAACGTTACTGTGGTGTAATTCACATATGATAAAATGCATGTTTTACATGCACCATAATGTCTGTACTCAGTCCATGGGATTGCAAACAATCGGAGCGACTTAGTGGCTGACCTATGTCTGTACTTGTGGGCTTCCTAGGTGGCTCAGAGGTAAAGAATCCACTAGCCAATGCAAGAGATACAGATTCGATCCCTGGGTTAGGAAGGTCCTCTGGCGAAGGAAATGGCAACCCACTCCAGTATTCTTGCCTGGAAAATCCCATGAACAGAGGAGCCTGGCAGTCCATGGGGGTTGCAAAGAGCTGGGACATGACTGAACACACACCTACTACTACATACGTGTGGAGTATCACCCCAGTGAAGATATAGAACATTTCCATCATCCTAGAAAATTCTTTTATGTGCTTTTGTGGCCAACTTCCTCCTCCCCAGACCCTGAAGCAGGGAACAGCTCATCTGCTCTCTGTCACCCGGTTTGTCTGTCCTGTAACCTCACATCAGTGCAATCACACATCACATTCTTTTTTGTTGAGCTGCTTTTACTCAACATAATGCTTCTGATACATCTGCCTGTTTTGGGGTTTGGGGTTATTGATGAGTAACATTGTAGTGTATGAATATAGAATGTGTGTGTGTGTACAGGTACATGTGTGATATGCGTGCTCTCAAATGGATGCCTGTGGTGTGAAGGAGTTTCTTGGTTCTAGCTGGCTCAGAATTCCATCTACCCCCAGCACGAGTGGGTTTCCATATCTCTGCTGTCAGCCCCAGAGCAGCTGCCCCCTGGTAAGCCATGGGTAAGGTAATCCTTTGCGTGCACATCCCGGCCCACAGCCGAGGAGCATGGCGACCCCCACCTGGGCCGGGGTGCCGTCAGCACACAGCCCTTCTTTCTCTCCAAGGCCTTGTCCTCCAGAGGCCGGCAGCTCCGCCCGCCGGACTCTGCCGCTCAGCAGGAATGCTGGGCTCTGCATGCCTGCTAGGTCTTGGCGCACCCATTATGGAGAAAGACTTGACGCAACCATCCTTTTTTTTCCCTCAGCGATTGTACTTTTGTACTGTCCTTTGCCCTCACCTGAAAATAGTTGCTTTGTATATTTTTGTCAATTTTATGGCTGCTTACAATGACTGTGAGGGCCAGTTTGGCCCCGGTTACTGTATGAAGGCTGGAAATGAAAGTCTACCCCTTGGGGCTTTGGTGCAGGAATGAAATGGCTTCCCTGAAGACAACGTTGCTCCCTGGCACTTGGGTCAGTCCAAGGTAATTTAGGAGATTTTGGTGGGCATGCCAGGATCATGGAGGGAGAAAAGTGAGAGAGCTTTTTGGAGAGGTGGGTGAAGGTGGAAGGGGTCTGAGTCGGGGAGGGGCCTGGCACCCTCTCCTGATGGCCTCCGGGTGTGGCTGGGAGGTCTCAGCACAGGATATTTAAAGACTCCTGCTTTCAACAGACAGTGTGAGTTGGGATAGTGACCAAGTGAGGCAAACAGAAGTGGAGAGAGGATTCAGGCAGAGACAGTAGTGACCAACATTTGACTTTCCTCCCAACTCACTAGATGTGGGTCGAATCAGATTTAATTTGACTTGAAATAATACATTTCTTATGTACCTCAGTTTGTGAAGTAAGATTTAGACTGGCTACCACAAACAAAGAAGATAAAGAGATTTGCATAACTTGTTTCTTTCCTGGATAGTTTTTAAAAATATATATACTAGCAACATTATAATTGCTGTTAACTTTAAAAATAAAAATAAATTTGCACAGTAACAATGTGACCGAATCTCAGAGATACACTAGAAGTGAAAAAAGCCAGACATGAAGCGGCACACTGATTCTGCTCCATGAATTCATGAAATTCAGGGACATGCAAAACTCATTTGTGATTCTAGAACTCAGAACCGTGGTTATGGGGTGTGAGCTGGGAGGGGCCTTGGAGGAGTCTTGGAAATGCTCTGTACTTTGATCTGGGTAGGAACTGCCTGGGTGTGGACACCCGCTGTGAAATCATTGTAGATTAGGGCACTTTTTTCTTTTCTTAACATATTCCCTGAGACTACCTAAGAACATGTTGTTGTTGTTTACTTGCTAAGTTGTATCTGACTTTTTTGCGACTCCTTGGACTGTAGCCTGCCAAGTTCCTCTGTTCATGAGATTTCCCAGGCAAGAATTCTGGAGTCGGTTGCCAGTTCCTTCTCCAGGGGATCTTCCCAATCTAGGGATCAAACTTAACGTCTCCTACATTGCAGGTTAATTCCTTACCACTGAGCCACCAAAGAAACCCTATCTAAGAACATAGACTGATTGATTCTTTTTAATGGCTGATGGACATTCTGTGGTCTGAACATTCTTCTATGTCTTTAACTATTCCTCTGTCAATGTGCTTTACAGGATGATGTCTTGATCTGCATGCTTGCTGCCAAGTTGGATTTTTGTTTGGTTGTTTTTTGTACTGAGTGATGTCGAAAGCAGGGAAAATGGACTAAAATTAAGTTTTAGTCCTTCTCTTGTGCTGTTGTGGAGTCTGAGCCAAATCATTTCTTCTCTCTGAGGCTCAGTTTATTCATTTGTAAAATGGATTTTTTTTTAACTTTGTTTTTGGACTGCACCACTTAGCATGTGGGATCTGTTCCCCGACCAGGGGTTGAACCCACATCCCCTACAAAAGTCCCTGTAAAATGGAATTTGATAAATGCTATAAGGTCTTTCAAGAACGCAAAAGCAGGGCCTCTGTAGTTGAATTGGTTTGGGAAACACTGTGGTAAGGTTACGTGGGTCTCCTTGACGCAGGACTCACCGGAGCCTTCATTCTGTGAAGGGGCTGTGTGATGCTTTTGGAGGGCCGTGAGAGTGTCAGCGTGCCCCGGATCACAGAGCTTACATGACTGTTCTAGAAGGAGCATTACTAAGGTTATTAGAGGAACACTTTTTAGCAAAAACTGCAGCACAGCCGGAGCCCCACAAGGCCTCCATCTTGCAGTGAGGTCCAGAGTAAAGAAGTCAAAAGGTGTATTAAGTATATAAGTGAACAAATCTTTTGAAAACATTTATAGATCAGTTATGTATTGCTCTGCTTAAACCCTGCAATGGCTGCTTAGTAACCTTGGAATAAAATCCTGCCCCTTTCCGCCGTGTGCTGTGCCCAGCTGACCAACCCCGCCGCCTTGTCCGTCTTCCCCTCGCTTCTCCACCTGGTAGGCAGTGCAGTGTAGTGTCACCTTGCTAAGGGTTCTGGAACCAGGTGGACCTGGTTTCAAATCCCACTGTGTCTCTGCCGTCTGGCCCTTCCAGTCTCACTTTACCCATTTGTAAATGAAGTTCATAACGGTTGCCTCTCGGGAATGTCAAGACATGCAAGAGAGAGGAGTAGAGGCACCAGGCTGTGCACCCCAGACTGTGCACATCAGACTGTGCACACAAGTGCTAACATTTTCCATGTGACAAAGTCCTATGTGAGTTTTGAATTTCAGCTCCAGGACCTCCCCAACTTACATATATTATCCTGTTTATTTTGGTTCATTTGTTCATTCAGCGCCTGTTATGCACCAAGCACTAACCTAGGCACTCGGAATACAACAGGAAGCTAAACAAGACTCCTGAGTCCTTCTGGGGCATTCCTTCCGCTGGCAGTGGGAGAACTGATAAGGTGTCAGTAACGGCTTCTAGAAGAAGCTCCTGAGTCCCTGTACTGTGTTTCACCAGGTTGGGCTCTAGGGGGAGTCAGGCTGAAAGCCTGTCCCTGACTTCGAGGGCCTCACAGTCTGCCTGGAGCGCCCAAGGGGCCCCAGATGGGAGGAGAGCCATGTCCCCCGGTCTGGCCTCACCTGCTTCCTGTCCTTGCAGCGACTTCCCCTTCTCTCGGCTGCCACCCGGCCCCTGCTGCCCACCTGGGGGACCGCCATGGCCTCAGGTCGGGCTGCCCGAGTAGAAGAGGGTACCCCCATCTCCCTGGCTTCTGGTCACCAAGCATCTCTCAGGCCCTGAGTTCTGATGTCACAGAAGGTGGGGACAGTCAGGCCTCCGTTCTGCACCATCCTGATGGTTAGCCCAGACTTGGTTTTCACATAAATATAAAAACACAGACTGGAAAGAGAAACACACTAAAAGATTATATTTCAGGATGGTGATTTTTCTGATCCTTTTTCTTCTGTGTTTTCAAATCTTTAATAAAATGCAAGTCTTTAAATTCAAAAATGATAAATTTTTTAACTGAAATATTTATTGAGATAACTATAGACTCACATGCAGTTGTAAGAAAGAGTGTAGGAGATCCTGGACACCCTTTACTCAGTTTCCTCTGAGACTGTTCCATCCTCTGATCAGAGTTCCTCTGATAGGCTGTTGCCATGGATACAATCTACCAATCTTATTAGTCTCCCCAGTTTCGTTGTATTCATTTATGTGTGTATTTAAATTCTAGATAATTCTGTCACATGGCTATATTTGTGCATCCACCACTATAGTCACCACCATACAGAAGAATTTCCAAACTATAGGGTCCTATGCTGCCCTTTGGTGCCTACCTCCTCCTATGCCCCTTTCTCTCACTGTCTCTAATGACTGGCAACCACTTATCTGTTTTCTGTTTCTAATTTTTTTTTGCCTGTGGATGTCCATTTGCTCCAGCATCATTTTTGAAAAATGCTTTCATTTCTCTTTTGAATTTCTTTTGCATCTTTGTTAAAAATAAATTGTGCATATTTGAGTGGGTCTATTTCTTGTTTTCTGCTTCATCCCACTGACCTATGTATTGATCCCCATACCAACACCAACTGTCCTGATTATAGCTATACAGTAAGCCTTAATATTGAGTAGAGTGATTTCTCCACCCTGTTCTTTGTCAAGATCATTTTCAGCACTTCTGTGGCCTGAGCCTTTCCATATAAACTTTAGAGTAAGACGTCTGTCTTAAAAAAAAAAAAAACTTACTAGCTGCCATTTTGACAGGAATTGCATTAAACCTACAATCTCTTGGGGGAGAACTGTCATCTTTACTATGTTGTATCTTCCAATCTATGGACATGGTATGCCTCACCACTGATTTAGGCCGATCAGCATTTTATAAGTTTTAGCATACAGGTCCTATACATATTTTAAGTGTATATTTAAATATTTCATTTTGGATTCCCTTCATATTTTAAAAAAACCTCCATTTACCAAAGAAATGCCATGTGTTAAGACATCATTAATTGTCAACATTTTGATTATCTAACTTTCCCAAAGTGACACATACAAAGTTTCTGATTAGCACCCAGATAACTTTTATTCATTGAGCATCTACTGTATGCTAGGTATTTCATTAACTTTATTTTATTACTTCTTCTCCAGGCTATAATTCTGTAGGTATTGGGAATTAAGTCTGTTTTATTAGCCATTGTTATCTCTAAATCCCATCATGCAGCCTGTTACATACTACATGTTCAGTAAAAATATCTGTTGAATGGATGAAAAATGAGCAACTTCAAACTGTGGCTTCTGAGAGGCCCTGAGCTATGTCTGGTGAAGTATTCATAGTGCTTGGGTCAGAAAATATTTGTTGAATGAGAAAAGCAGGTGGTATGATTTTAATTTCACCAGTGAAGAAGCTGAGGCCCAGGGCAGCCAAGGAAGGATATTAGCTGTAGTAGGTGTCGACTCTGTTCCAGAGCCCATGCTAAGTGCTGTCCATACATTATCTCATCTCATCCTCATAACTGCCCTGCAAGATGGGTGCCAGCAGTCTGTCTGGACGTCACGCTCCGTAGTCGAGATCCTGCACTCTGCTAGGAGTCTGAGTGCAGGTCTGTTTAACTCCGAAGTCTTTTAGTTTATCTCAAAGGGTTAATGTCATTTCAGCTAAAAGCAAAGAAAGTTGCCATTCTTGTTATCCTTTGTGGTTTTATTGTGGGTGAGCAGATGTGGGAGTCCCATGAAATTTTTTGAAATATCGAAAGTAGCTATATTCCTTCTTACTTCTTCAACTCCATGACCATCCCAGTTTGGCATCCAGAAATGTCAAACAATCTCTGCCCCTTCTTCTTCTGCCTTCTTCAGCATATTCTTCTTCTTATCATCCATAATTAAGATGAGTCAAGAAATTACTGAGTTCAGGACTCTATGTGAAATGCTTTATATGTATTGACTCATTGTATTGCTGTTTCAACTCTGGATGGTAAATAATATTATTATCCCCATTTTACAGATGAGCAGACTAAGACTGACAGTGGTTAAGTCAACTTTCTCAAAGTTACACAGTTAGTGAGAAGCAGGGCTGAGATCTGAACTCTGAGGAGCTGATTCCAGCTTCCCGAGTTATGAGTGCCATGAGATAACTGCCCTTTCCATGGGAAAACTCGAGAAGAAGAAAGGGGTCTACCTAAGCCAATTGGAAAAAAAAGAACCAGATCTCAAACCTCTTGCTCCCACTTGGGAACTCTTGACAAGGCCACCTGTGTCATCTCCATGGTCTTGCTCATGGGCAGCTACTGGCCTCTGGGGTTTTACCTCCAGGAAATGTTTCAAATATAATATGCAGACACTCAAGTACTGCCCATTAAACTAATTATGGCATATTGAATGTAATGAATTACATTCATGTTAAGAGAAGGCAACCGGAAACATTTTCCTAGAAACCCAGTGAATTCTTCCAGGAAACTGCTCTGAAGAGCAGTGATGAGTTGGGGAACTTCTGGGATTAGTTTTGAGGGTCATTTTCTGCGGCAGGGCAGAGAGGAAAGCCAGGCATCTCTCCTGGCCCTCAGCGCACATGCCCAGAAGCAGGTTGTGCAGGAGGCTCGGGCAGGGTGGGTGCTGGGCGAGGTGTCTCCCAATCCCCCCCGCCAGCCAGCGCTGGGTTACCCAGTGCAGGAAGAGGGAGGGGATGAGAAAAGAGGGAGGGACCGAGGACTGGGGAATTAGGCTTCCTGAGTGAATGTGGGAATGAATGGGGGGAAGGAGGGGGATATGAATGGAAAAATTGTAGGTGAAAAAAAGAGTTCCAGGCAAATCCCTAATGGAAAAATTACACTGTATGAAGCGAGCAGTCTGCCCCGTGCGCACAGGCGGAGACCAAGCGGTGCTCTGTACTGTCTCTCAAGCACGTCTGAGTTCAAATCCTGGTGTCACGGTGTCTCTGAGTCTCAGCTGTCTGAAAAACGAGACCAGTACTAATGTACGTCTTGGGGGTTTACTGAGAGGGCCAGCTGGGATGACCTGACCCAATAGCGTCTGGTTCAAAGTAGGAACCGGTTAGTCCCCCTCGCGCCCTCTCTCCTCCCCGCTCCTTTGCCCTCTCCCTTTTCTTCCTTACTTCTCCAGTGTTTACTGAGTTAGCTTCTGTGCTAACTCAGTGAAAGTCTCCCCTAGTAGTTTCAGAAGGCAAAGACTTCCTATGAAAAATCTGTCCAGAAAACTGATCCACATGGTCTAATAGGCAAGCGTGGATGGCAGTGGGAGGGACCTAATGGGCTGTGGAGAAGAATGACAGGATGGCTCCATAAAGGAGGAGGCCGTTTTGGCTAGCTGGAAGGTAGAAGAAACTGGATCTTGGGAAGAATCATGGGCAAAGACCTCCCAACCTGGGTCTTCCACTGGAACCCCCCCAGTCTGAGCCTGGGTCCGACTTGTTTGTGTAACAAGGCTTACAAACTCAGAGGCATAGAGGCACTGTACAATGAATAAAATGAGAGGAGTGGGCTGGGTGTACAATGAACAGGCTTGGTGGGGACTGTGGCAAGTTATAACGTGCATGTCTAGAAGGCCCGGCTTCCCGGCTGTAATCTGCCTGCAATGCAGGAGACCCGCGTCCAGTCCCTGGGTTGGAAAGATCCCCTGGAGAAGGAAATGGCTACCCACTCCAGTATTCTTGCCTGGAGAATCCCATGGATAGAGGAACCTGGTGGGCTCCAGTCCATGGGGTTGCAAAGAGTCGGACACAACTTAGTGAGTAAACAACAACAGCGTCTAGAAGGACCAGCCAATTGTTGCCAGGGCTATGTAAGATCCAATGTTGCAAGATCTTCTGTTTCTTTGTTTTTTAAGAGAAGCTGGAAATTTAGCCCTTCATGTGATATCTCCTGACTCATAAATATTGGTAACAAATTCAACTTTAGGGGGAAAAGCACTGAATGGGTGAAACACAGGCCACTGATTTATGGACCCTGACTTATTGTGTGTCTGCTCTGTAACAGGCATTCTGCTGGGCCCAAACGTGGCTTGTCCCTGATTTTCATAACAGCCTTTCTGTTCAGGGTTCTTACCTGTGAAGGCAGGCAATAGAAGACTTTACTGCTCACTAAATTTAGAAAAGGTAAGTTTGGCAGGGAGGACCAAAGGGAGCTCCTGGAATAATAGATGGAGAGGCTGGAGATTCGGGGACAGGAGTAGGTATTGGAGCCACGGGCCAGGGCATGTCACAGGAACAGTCTGAACCCAGAACAGTATGGGGCAAGTGTTGGATCCCAAAGCCATGAAAGAATTCAAAATTCTCTTGGTGTCTGCATTAGTTACCTATGTCTTCTGTAACAAATTGCCACAAACTAGGTGACTAAAACAACAGATATTAAGTTTCTCACAGTTCTGGAGACCAAAAGTCCAAAGTTCATATCTCTGGGCTGAAATCAAGGCATCAGGCTGGCTGCATGCCCTCTGGAGGCCCTGGAGGAGAATCCCTTCCTTGTCTCTTCCAGCTTGTGGCGGCTGCCAGCATTCCTTGGCTGGTATCTGCATCACTCCAATCTCTGCTTCCACGATCACATTGCTTCCTCTTCTGTGTGTGTGAAATCTTCCTCTTGTAAGGATACATGGATTGCATGGGAGCTCACCCAGATAATCCAGGATAATCTCATTATCTCAAAATCCTGAATTTAATGACATCTGCAGTATCCTTTTCTACAGTATAAAGTAACAGTCACAGATCCCAGGAATTAGGACATGGATTTCTTTGGGGAACTTATTACAGCCCAC